TATATATATTAGTGAAATGAATAAAGTCCACACAATAGTCCCAAAAATGGAAGAAATCCAATGTGAAGGAGTAAGAGAAAACACAGAGGGTAGTCCACTACGATAAATAAGATCTTCAGGTGTGCAGTGGCCACAAAGTTCTAACTAAACTTTCACCTCCACCAAGTGGGAACAAATGATGGACAGGTGCTCACCCGGGGAAGTGGACCCACAGAGCAGGTCTCAACAGGCTCAGTCTCAGGTCTAGTGTTGTCCCAAGATGCTGTTTTGATATTTCTTAATGGATGTGCTCTGCTGCCCACACTGTCGATTTACTGCAGTAGTGAAGATGAACTACTGGCTGAAGGTTCTGCAAAATCTGACACTCCCATGAGTCTCGATTTCCTGGTCCCCAGCTGCGCTCTGTGATTTGTTTTGCCAGCACCTACACCTCAGGTGTATTCGGTAGTGACCGATGTGTGGAACCACAGCATGCTACAGGAACCAGGAAATTGAGACTGCCCCAAATTTTGAATTCTGCAGGATCTTCAGTCATAGCAGGATCTTCTGTTTATAGTAATGACTTTGCTTTAAAAGAGAAGTAAAGCCAACCCTTTTTTTCTTTTGGGTCACAGGAATAGATCTACTATTGTACTCCTCTGACCCAAAGTTAGTAGATAGTCGGCTAATACCCGCCATCTGCTGACCGTGCAGAGCAGCCAGGAATGATCGTGATAATATTGTTAGGATCGACGCGACTGCTTGATTGACATCTGACTCTGTCTCTCTAGAGCCAGCTGTGCCAGCCCCCACCTACTTTTACATGATCAGTCACTGTCAGAATACCCAAATGAAACTGGCAGCTCTGTTGAGCCAAGAATTTTCCAACCAGCTCCTTCGATCAGCTGATCGAGGGATGCTGGATGGAAAGGTGCCGGCAGCGGCACCCAAGCAGCGAATTTTGGCCAGTTCATCAAGAACCGGCCGAAATTCAAAGTATGTATACCCAACATTAGAGCTGACATATAACATCTGCAGTCATGCCAGCTCTAAGCTGTGGGGAGAGTACATTTTACTCTCCTAATACTTCTCTTTTAACCGTTGATAAACGGGGAGGCTTACTGAACTGCTTGACATACAGGATAAATGCTAGAGGGAGACCCTTCAAACCTTTACACAAATACCTTCATGAAAACCTAGAACTTCTTGCAGGTTAGTGTTAAAGCAATAAGTTAAATTGTGTACAGGCTGAAATATAGTGTAGTCTCCTTTTGTGGGTCCTAATTATTATTTTCCATTTCATACAGTTTTATTCAGCCTCCGAAGACTCTATCATCACTGAGCACACTGCGAGATGGAAACTGGAGAGATGGATGCTATTGATCTGTTTCGAATGATGAGCTTACACTTCTATAAAAGCAATTTTGATCAATGTGTATTTTTCCCAGCGGGCTGGGTAAAAATAGTGTAAGACGACACATCTCTTTGAGATTTTAACATTTGTAATATATGTGTTATGTGAGAGAACTGTCAAAAGACAATGTAGCTCTTAAATGTTTGACGTGAAATGATAAATGGATTTTTTAATAACACTGTACAATAGACACGCATATTCAACAGCAAATACTTCTAAGAATCTGATACAAAACATTTTTATAATTTATTATTCACTTTTTGTTATCCTGTGGAAGCACTTACCTTTTTGTACAATGGATCATTACACTACTGGACAACATGTAAAGTTTTTGTGTATAGAATGAATAATCACACTTGGAGATGCTGCTTCACTTTGGTGCCACACAAAATCGTTTTTAAGTGCATTTTGAAATAAAATTATTTGGAATACTTTATTTGGGAATAATCGGAAATGGATGTAAAATGTATTTCTTGTTGCAAAGCACAAGGGTACAAGGAGGAGGGTCACTGTCACAGTCTATACAACCACATTAATTTTGTCTTGTTGCATTTTTTTATGTTAATTTATTGTTTAACTATTTGAATTATTTCTTCTGAATAATAATGGATTTACTGCACCTCTACTGCAATGTGGGCTGGGTTTTTTTCTTACTGTCAAAATACTGAAGATCAAAGCTCTCAATGGACATAAAACTTTTTGATAGGCATTTTACAGAAATAAATTGCACTAATGCTTTAATAAGACAGTATATGATTTCATAATAATGACATCTGTATACTGCTGTTTTGGAATGTTTCAGTAATAAAGAATATTTTTCAGCAGTGCACGGTGTTTATTTCACAAGCTTTACACACGTCTTATGGCAGTCTCGTATACAGATAAATACTAAGTGGTATTTTGGATCCCTGGGGTTTTTTTGTCAAGCTTTAAAAAGAAGATTGATAAAAGTTTGATGGCCAAATTGTTTTATAATTTTTGTAAAGTTTTTTTTTTTTTTCTTTTTAATATCTTTTCTTTTTGCATTGTAATACCAACATCTTCTGTACTGTTGAATATATTTATACACATACATTAAAACACTAAAGAGCCATGTGCAAGTGCTTAAAGAGACCCTGTCACTACACCGTTTATTTAAACAATAATCTTCTCATAGGATTATATATGCATTTAATGTATGTTATGTTGATTACCTGTAAAGATATTTCTTGTGTTGATATTCAAATGTCCTGAGACTGTTGCTGGCTTCCACCATCTTGATCTCAGCAGTCACATCATACTCAGAGCATTTATTCAGGTGACATTCAAGCAGGGGTGGCCAAACTTTAGCCCTCCTAGATGTTGTGGACCTACAAGTCCCATAAGACATTGCAAGTCTCCCAGAGAGAGGGATGTTGGGATTTGTAGTTTCACCGCAGCTGGAGGGCTGACGTTTGGCTATCCTGGTTCTATAGGAGAGAGAGAGATCGAGAGAGAGAGAGAGATCGAGAGAGAGAGAGATCGAGAGAGAGATCGAGAGAGAGATCGAGAGAGAGATCGAGAGAGAGATCGAGAGAGATCAAAGAAGAAAAAGGAGGTGGTTGTGCTAGGGAACTGACTCTTCCTAGCAAATTCAGAGGTGTGTTGCAAATCAATAACAATTTGTTTTTGGACAGAAAAAACACTGCAAGTAAGCAGGGGTAATTTGTGAGCATTATGTGTTATCAGTAGTATAATCATGGGAGAAATGACATGGAATAAGGCATGTGGGCATGAGGTGGTGTAAATAATGAATATTTACCCTTTTAACTGGTTTTACGTTTCTTTTTAATATGTTCATTTAAAAACCAACTCCAGCCTCCTGTGTCCCTATTGTAAATATTTCCCCTTAGTTTCTTTGATGAAAAATTTATCCAAAAGGAACACAGACAAAGAAATTTTTAGTAGAGTGAAAATGTTTATAGGTGTCTGCACCTTCCTAACCTGGTGAACAGGGCAGCCATCAGGGGGGTACGGCCGATACTCATGTAAGGGGCCGTAAGGGGCCCGGGCAGCCCGCCCGGGTCCCTTACATGACTATCGGCCGACGTTGAAGGGCGAGGAGGCGGAGGCCTGGCCCTAGCAGCGCAGGGCCCCAGCATTGCCGCTCCAGTGGCTTCGAGACAAGCTGGGGCCCCATCAGCGACGCTGCTAGTCTGATGTTGGACTGGCCGGCAGTGATGTCACGTCACATCTGGCCGGTCCAACGACAGACGAGGCCATATGTGCAGGTCAGAGGAGCTAGGAAGGAAGGAAGGAAAGGAGGGAGAGGATGGATGCAGCCCTGACCAGCCCACCTGAGACCCCTTCAGAGCCCACCATAGACCGTCGCAGATGGGCTGTGCAGCATCTATGGTGGGCTCTGCAGGGTCACTCTCAGGTGGGTCCTGTGTCCAGCGCATCACTAAGCCCTGCGTCCAGCACGTCACTAAGACCTGCATCCAGCGGCGGGTGGGGGGGCCCGGTCTAAAGCCATGTAAGGGGCCCCAAAAGTTCTGATGGCTGCCCTGCTGGTGAAGACTGCTCTCACGGTTTCTGGTACAGGGGTCACAGGGACAGGAAGTGAGTGAAAAAATCTCCCTAGTGGGGCCACAAAAATAAAAATCTGACAAACCTTTCCACTCTATCCAAAAAACAGGAGTTTTTCTTTTTTTTTTTTTAGGTTTATGGTTTTTAGCAAGTAGTAGTTGGTTGCATTCAGCTGGACTTGTTCTGAAATGTTAAAGATGTTTACCACACAACCAAGTAGCTACCACTGTTCTAATAATCGCCATGTATACACTCATTTAAAAGTGTGCCCGTTCCGGAATGGGCAAGTTTGGGCACATTACAAATAATGTAAAGTCTGTAGGAGGGGAGTGCAGGGTGTTTGTCATTGGTCAGTATGTGTAGGAAACTGGTGAAAAGGGTATGACGGCAGGCAATACGCGAATGAGAGGAGTGCAGAAGGTATGGCAGTGCCAAGTATGTGCATGAGCTGAGTGCAGAAGGTATGACTATGGTAATATGTGAAGGGGAGGGATGCAGGGGGTATGTTGGTAGGCAGTATGTACAGAAGGTATGACACCATGTAGGTAGCTGTAGGAGAAATAAGAGAACATTTGTAAAAATTGCAGCGCTAGGCACTGAGCTGAAAGGGGAAGGAGGTGGGGGATGTGTGGGAGGAATGGATGGATCTGCCGTTTGTAGTGCTGGGAGCAGGGGAAAGGCAGGGGCATAGTTCAGGTACATAAAGTCTGCTCTCATGTCCCCAGGCTTGTACGGGAAGTGTACTGCATAGAGGTGGATGGGATTAGGAAGAGTGAGCACAGCAGGATAGGATGGAAGTAGAAGAGGAAGAAATTGCCACTGGAGGCAGAATCACCTACTGGATAAACAAAACTCTGATTTTTGCATTATCTTTATTGGAAAATGAAACTATGCTTACAAAACGAAACTCTATCTTAGCATTTATTTTTTAGCAATGTAGTCTGCTTTATCCAATCAAAATGCTATTCATTTCATTGGTTCAGGTTTATGGATGACCTGTAGGTAAAGATTACAAAATCTGAATTACAACCTTGTTGTAAACACAAATTTAGTTGATAAGAACACCAAGTTCACATAGGAAAATGTGCGGTATAATAAATTGCCGTTTTTAAACTGTTTGTCACATATCAAGGAGGTAGGTGACTGCAACATTACATTTTTTTTTTTTGGCTTTACTTCTCATTTGGGTCAGAGGAGTACATTAACTCCTAGGGCGCAAAATAGCATAAAGTAGGCTACTGCCCTGTATATGCTGACAGCGCAGAGCTGGATCCACCTGTCAGCCTGATTGACAGCTGGCTCTGCCTCTCTAGAGCCAGAGCCAACTATGCCCACCCCTCCCCTGTCTGTCCCTCCAGTGAGTGCTGGAGGAACAGACAGGGGAGGGGGGAATCTCTGCAGGGAGCGGTGACAACACTTAATGTTCTGTGCAGGGAGAAGCCCTAAGCTAAGCTATTAGCAGTTTGTGATCTCAGTATAGAACTGATTTGAGACGGCTGCAGTGTCCCACGCCAGCTCCAAGTATTGTGAAGAGTATATTTTACTCTCCCAATACTATTCCTTTAAAAGATACTGGAAACCTAGTTATCCTGTGTGTGGCTGGAGAATCTGAAAAACTCACAAGAATATTTAAAACAACTTTGTGTCTGTGGTTTTTTTAAGGCCAGCAGCATACACAAGCTTGTATATCCAAAATACCCAACACAAAGTCAAAGAGACTTGGTGAAGAAACTAGAAATATGCTCTCCAGTGTAGCAAGTAATCCAAAGACCTGTACACTGAGGCCCACAATATGATATATTCCTACTCAAGCAGAAGGGGCATTCTTTAGGGAACAGTGAGGTAAACATATTGGACAGCTACGGCAGTAGCAATGAAGGGGTTAACCAAGCTTGGGATTTGATCAGTATCTGCTCAGAGTGGTTGCCAATCATGTCTTACAGCCCTCTCATCTTCATGGTAGAGCTGCAGACTGCTTTGAAAGTGATTTCCAGAGGGTGCTGCGCCACTTTAGTTACTGAAGTCACTATTTCCATTCTATTTTAAAGCTGGAGCAGATCAACAGATATTCTTCTGCAGGGTCTTTTAAAGTGATAAAACACTGGGAAATGCATTGTAGAGATGTACTACGTATTTTTTTTTGCCCTAAAATATGTAATTGCCTCCTAAATGACCTCCTAAAATGTAAGTTGTGTAGCTGTCTTCTAAGTAAGGCCTGGTTCACACCTGGGCATTTTACAGCACGTTCCTAGGGAACCTACCCTCTGGTTCCCTATTCGTATCAGAGCTCCCCCTTCACATCAAAGATCCCCCTTTCACATCCGAAGGCTGCCTTATAACACCCAATTGTATTCCAAGATTTTAGTGAAATAAGTTTGATTTTAAAATTTGGGATGGAATCTTTGATCAAACATTTTATCCTTCCTTGCGCCGGTCTAGGAGTGCTAGGTACTCCAATTGTTTCTGTGATTTTGAGTACATGTATTTTGCTGCAATCTTACAAGTTACCAAAGCAGTAACTTCCAGTATTGCTTATTGAGCTTCCTAGGCAAAATTGAATTAGATTTTCTTTATTCTTATCATGTGTTCTTTATTTCTATTTATGTTCTGTATTTATTTCTGTGC